CCCCCCCCCCCCCCCGCCTCTTCCAGCACACACGGCGCGCGCCGCTGCACATAGAAAGGCGCGCGCTGTGAGACACGCGCCGCCGTTGTCGCGCGGCGCTGGGCGGCCGGAAGTTGCGCTGTGAAGCAGAACGCCGCTGCGCGCGCGTCGCGCGGCTGCGTGCCACCGCCCGTGCCTGGTCGGTGCGCTGTCGAAGGCGCGGGCTCGCATGCGTCCCGCTTTCTGGGCGGGCCTGCCTATGGCCTTCCGCGTGCGCTCGTGCTCGACCGATGGGCATCGGCAAATGCGCATCGCCTGCGCTGCCTTTGAGGCTCGCAAGTGGCGTGAGGAAACGGAAGGAAGGCAGTCGGTCCGCAGGTTGGAGAGAAGACGAGGCGATGAAAGATGCCCTCGTGGAACGCGTGGACGTCGTGTACACGTGGTTCGCGTGTGAAACTATGTGCAACGTGTACAGCAGTGCGCGTACATTGTGGCAAACTACTGTAGCTACCTCTCGGAAGGTACGTGTAGTGTCTATCGGACCGCTAGTCCTCATATGAGGACAAAAGTTGTTTTATTTTTTCTAGACAACCCAAGTCTTGATTTCACTTCTATTTTTTGAAACCAGAAGGCCATCACGACAGGTGAAGCATTTGCTTGTCGATTTTTGTGAAAACTATCTTGTTGATGCATATAAAGGTGTACAAAAGAAGATGATGGCTTATGGTAAGCATTTTTCTTTAAGCTAATTTTTTACCAGTGGCATAGAAACATGGGCTTGAGTGCTTCTTATTCGGTTCTAACTTTGGAAATTTTTAAAACGAATCATTCTTACAAAGAAAATTGGAAACCATGGCCATCAAAGTTTGACAATAAATAAAATTCGCAGATGTTTATGTTATGATACCGTTTGGCCGGATGGACAGTAGAAACATAACAGGGCTTCCAAATAATTTTATTCGGCTCGACTTTCGTCAAACGAATTAGTGACACGACGTGGCCGAGTGGAGAAAATCACGACTGCGGGATCCGGCTGATTGCCGTACCGTTACGGTACCAAGGGTACAGTACCCTTCTCACCGGCTTAATTTGGGCCACGGCTCAATTTGGGCCACTTCCAAATCACGAGCCTCTAGAGCAGAGTATTATAATAGAGTACTGTAGGAGGAACGGTCAGCAGGGCCAAAAAACAATACCATGCCATCGGATCCATGGTATTCACCCCAAACAGCCATGTTGCATCCGCGCCAATATGGCGGGCGTTACGCCCGACCGCATTGCATCACGTCAGGTGGAGGAAAGCCTCCCTGCATGCGTCAGCATTTCCACAATAGCGAAGGCGATCCACCGGCGAATCAGTGCAACGCTGATCGCGCTCCCTGCAAAACGATTCGCTGCTGCCGATCAGATTTTGCATGATATCGCCCAACCCACATCCCTCACCTTCCTTGCATCCCACGCACGCACGACGCCCGCTTTCTCGTGCCTTGCTCCTGCTTCCCGCCCGCTCTCTACACTCAATCCAGTCCTCCTCTCCCCTTCTATATGCCTACGCACGCCCCACCACGCATTGCCGCTACTGTACCCTCAAATGCTGTATATATTGCGAGGCCATCCGCCTTCTCTGACGTCTAAACACGCCCCCGTGCTCCCTCGCCTACTCTCTCCCGCTCGCCCTTGACTCGCATTCCCCGCCCCAACATGAAACATCCCTCACCGCCATCCCGCGTGCTCCCCGCCACCCCCGCCTTATTCAACCCCCCTTGCCCCGTCGTCCCCTCCCACCCGCGCCTCTCGCCCCATCTGACTCCCAAAACCCCCCGCCGCTCCCCCACCGCCACCGCCTCTGTCAAAACAAGAGCAAAGCCCCTGCCCGTCCGCACTACTCGCTCGCCCTCGCACGCACCCGCGCAAGGTCCTCACTGCCGCTACGTGGACTGCGAGACGCTGCGCCGCTCCGTGTCGAACGCGAAGGGCTCGCGAGCCCAACTGTCCGACCGCGACGAGCGCGTGCGCCGCCTGCTGCAGCAGGCCCGCGCGTCTCTGAAAAACTCCGAGCGCGGAAAGGCCGAGCTCCGCTTCCTGCAGGCCATCTCTGCAGACCCGACCCGCGCGCAGAGCTACTTCCTCTACGCTCTGCACGTGCAGAAGAGAGACCCGCAGCTCGCACGCGACTTGTTCTTTCATGGCGTTAGGGAAAATCCGAATGATGCAAAGCTTCTTCAGGCCTGGGGACTGTTCGAGTCGAAGCAGGGACACTTGAAACGCGCCCAGACTTTGCTCACTAGAAGCGCCATGCTCGACCCGAAGAATGCTCCCGTGCTCAAGTGGAAGCGCTTGTTCCCACCAAACACGCAGAGTTCGTGACATTGCATCAAACGATATTCTAATTCCTCACTTGAAAATTTTTCCTATACTCCAAACACTTGATAGGATAGCTTGCATTTATCACTGCAGAGTCACTCTGCATTGATACTCTCTATTACAGTGTCACGGAACAGCAATGTTGATGATCTCATGTCGACGTTACAGTGCTGTAGGTCCTTAATTTATTGAATGAAAAATCTTCGAAATTTATTTGCATATTTTGATATCATTAAATGTTAAACCTTTGTTCGCGTTCTTCTGCTATGATACGTATTGGTGAAGTGAACATGTCAGCATACGCTTGGTCTATGTTGCTGGTGTTTGGCCCATCCCAGACTAATTCCTTGCTGATTTTGTGTCGCACCTTGTTTATGGGGAACGGAGAATAGGATGCTTTATCGTTGCACCGGACCATCCCTTAGAATTCGAAGTGGTCTACTGTAGGGTACAGGCTACGACGATTCAGTGTTCCAGGCAGATGCAAAGATAGCAATCGTGAGCAAAATGTTGAAAGCAGGCTAGGTTGCCGAAATGTGCTTGTGCATCTTTGTGTCCGGTGTTTGGCATCTTTATGGTGTATTGAATGAATTGTTCATTTCTTTTGGGGGTTTGTACATCAGTTTATTGATTCCCTACATCGCTATGTTGGTTTTAGAATGTCAAGAATTTGCGATGCGCTAAAGCTTTAAGGACGTAGAGTCCGAGCGTCCGACTTCACAGCAGCAGAGAGTTTGCAGATATCGCCACTCCTCTCACGCAAAGCTAGCGCAAAACGCCGTGTGATTCATGAGGCGATTCGTCGAGAACAGCAAACCTCACTTCTGAGCTGGTACCCTTCAGGCGGTGTCCACCCCTTTTTGCACAATGAACGCCCAGTTTCCATTCCAAATGATAATAGTCACCCCCTTATAGCTAGTGCGTTTCATCTCTTTGCGATGGTCGCCAATAACCCCGGTACGCTTCGTGATGGGGTCCAAAAAGTCCTCGTGATACACCGCAATCACGTCTCTGTCCTGCTGCCTGGTCGTGAGATAGTTAAAATACTTGAGGTACACCGCCTTCGACATGCGCGAGAACACATAGTCGTGGTACCGCCCCGCCTCCAAGTACCCGAGGTCGAGCCCCGAAAAGTCCATCTTCTCGTCCGCGAGCGCTACTTCCGACACGTGCGTCTTGAAGTAGAACGACTGCGACACGCTCTTCTCCCCAAAGTTCGCCGTCTGGCTCATCTCCGGCCGGATACATTGCCGCCCCCTCGTCTGGTCCGTGCTGCGCATCTAGTCATCCCAGAACATCTGTGGCCACTTGGGTCCAAGCTCCTCCCACAGCACCCGCATGAGCGTCCACCCCAGCCCGGGAAAAAAGTCCGTCCGGTGCAGCTACGTCGTGACTTGATCGCATCATCACTATCAGCGCATCTACAAGCTCCTGTCGGGCACCTTCGTTGCATATACTGAAGAGTCGTGCAGTCTCAGGATCAATAACCGGCAAGACCTCCTTTTTCTCCGTCTCTTCACTGATTTTCGCACCTCTTTTTTCTCATTCCTCCCTCTTTTTGAGATGATCTGTTCCCTTCTCTTTTGGTCCCTTGTCAACTTCCGTACTCACCTGCTTCGGAGCTTTCGGCATGGGCGTGGGTTTCGACTTCTCCGACAACTTCTTTGCCTCTACTGTAGCAGCTAATGAAGTCGACGAGATTCGGACCAAAGACAACTCTTCGTAAACCCACTTCGCTTCTTTTAACGTCACCCTTCTTGAAGGGAGCGGAATATTCCGAAGCGCATTTCGTGCCTCCGCGGTTTCCAACGGGCTTCCATTCCGACCGACTAATAAATCTTATCGATAATGTAGAAACAAGCAAGCATATGTGCAAAAGACACATCGTGATGTAAGCAACGCCATCTCAAACGGAAAAATCCTATTTCTCAACAGGGCGGTCGCGAAAGTCCTGAAACATACCGTCCTATCTCGCTTGCTGGCTCGAACATATACACATTGTGCGGCAAGTAGATCTTCACTCCATTCGCGCAAAAAAGCAT